TAAATATATTTTTAATGAATTAATATTTTTCAATGCCCTCTCTGACTGTGCCCACACCAGATCCTGCAAGCAAAAAACTGTCTGACAGGCACAAACACCACCAGGCCCATGTCACATCATCCAGGGCACTGTGACAGACCTTCTGAGCCAGGCATTCACCAAGCCCACTCCATACTGTTTTGTAACCACTTGCTAAGCATTTTTTATTTGCACTCCCACAATATAATGGTTTTTCTCCAGAGAACCATGACCCAGAGGCTCATATATTACTTTTGAAATAAAGGCAAGCAACCTACACTGGAGGTTGATTTTCCTGTTCCCTTCCCCCATAACATTGTTGAAAATATTTAGTAATGTAAGTTTTTAAACTTGTGTAAAATTTTAGGAGTCTATTTGTATTTTTTTTTTTATTTTTTTCCCTTCAGTTTGTATTCAAACATATTATTTTGGGTTTTTTGGGGTTTTTCGGGTTTTTTTGTTTTTTGTCTTTTTGAGACAGGGTCTCGCTATGCAGTTCAGGCTGGCCTTGAGCTCACTTTGTAGCCCAGGCTGGTCTCGAACTCACTGTGATCCTCCTGCCTCAGCCTCCTGAGTGCTGGGATTATAGGCATGTGCCACCATGCCTAGCTTTCAAATATATTATTTTGAAAGTCTGTTTAGAGACACAAAGGGCCACAATTAACAGTTTATAAATTTATATGACAAATAAAAGGATCTTCCTTTAGAATTTGAAAGAAATTTCTTTTATAGATTCCATTAAATAAATGGGGAATATTAAAAGCAAAGATTAGCATATTCCCATATGGTGAACACTATCAATGAATTATTGCAGCTTTCACACTTGAAATAATTTTTTATAATCAGAAATATCAAACTCATTTAAGAATGAAATTCTTCCTCAAATCAATATTAAATTTAACACCTACTCCATTCCTGAAATTTAACAATCAAAAGACTGAAACTCACATAAGACTGTGCTGTTCTTAAATGACTCAAGTTAAAACTAATTTTGTTAATATGTCAATATAAATATTGACATTTTCTGGCCATTTTGACATGTGTGTAACTCTCTAATATCTCTTACTGAAAGTAGCATTGAGCTAAGATGCTGAAACTGAATCCAAATGTAACATTTAGCAACAGAAAGACTTAGAAGAAATTAACACACAACCTTCTTGTCCATAAAAGGTGTTTTAAGTCACAATACTTTTGGAATCTTTAATAAAACCATGCTCACTTATGCTACAGAAGATATAAAGTTGACCAAAAAATTTGAACTTTTAAAAATATTTCTAAAAAAGGATGAAATGATGTAAGTATACATTCCTTTTCCACAAATTTAAAATCCTCGAATATCTACCTCTTATTTCAAAATAAATTTGGGAGCAAAAACTGCTGTAAGTTGATATGAAACTGTTCATGATTCACAATCATGTGGATATGATATTAACGTGTTTGATTCCAGGGTAGTGCAATTGACAGTGTATATGTTATACTGTCTTTCCATAATAAAAAAATCTGAATTCTGAAATATGTCCAAAACTGCCAAATAACAAACTCTAGACCTGATTCCCTCTTCATTTAAAGGTGATTTTACTACTAAACCTTCAGGAAAAACAGTACACACATACACACACACACAAACACACACACACACACACACACACAGAGTCCACATATCAATTAAACTACCATTTCTTCAGGGGTATAAGACATTGTATATTTTCCATACTTTATTCCTAATTCTTACCTAAAAAGAAAGTGTTACTGTCCCGTTTATAAATGAGAAAACTAACACCAAAAAGACAACTATTTTGCCCACCGATATAAGAATTCTTACAGTATTCTGATTTCTAAGGCTTTTTATAATTTCAATATAGATAATTTCAGACTCATATAGAGTTGATCTTCTAAAAACAGTTATTTTGCCCAGGTAGAGTGGTACATCCTAGCACTTTGGGAGGCTGAGGCAGGAGGACTGCAAGTTTCAACCAACCTGGACAACTTAGCAACTGAGACCTTATCTCAAAATAAAACAAAAAAGGCCTGATGATATAGGTCAGAGTAAAAATCCTGGATCTGATCCCCAGTGCAAAAAAAAAAAAAACAAAAAACAAAAAAAGAAAAGAAAAGAAAGTTACTTCACAGAGAACATGATCAAGGTACAATCCATTTTAACAGACTGCGTAATACTAAAATTTCTAATCTATATGAGCATCCACAAAAGTAACAAACTTAGCAATTTAGGAAAACAAATTATTTTCCCAGTAAATTTCAAACAGAATAATTTTTATCATGCTTGGAAAGGAGGGAGAAGAAACTAAGAAAATGATGCAGGTACAATATACCTTCAGACAATTACTCCCACATTTAGTTAATTATAATATTTTCTATTATTTTTTATTAAATTAATGGAGAAAAAGAAAATCCTGACACTCATGTACCCATTTGAAAGCACAAAATTTAAAAGAAATGACCTTCTTAAACAGTTATTTGCAGGCTTGAAAAAAGATATTATAAGTGTCTCTTCATTCCTCCACGAAATTCCTCGAAATCTGCTCCACACAGAGTCAAGTTCCATAATAAGTAGTTCTGATAACAATTCTATATTCTCCAAAACTTAGTCTCTGCTTTTCTTATAATAGCAAAGCATTATAGCAATGCAGAAGAAAAAAGGATATTTTATAGTCAGCGCTGATTGTTTAAAACTTGTTCTTATACATAAAGCATATGCCATATATTTGAAATTTTTTATATCCAAGCTGCAAATGAACTAAGGAAATAACATTAATGGGTGCTTCAAGTATATCATCTCTAATATCTATACATATCATTCTCATGTTACAGATGAGGAAACTGAAGGTCAGAAAATTTGAAAGCAATGGAGAGAGAGAGAGGGAAGAGAGAGGAAGGGAATGAAAAAAGAAAAAAATTGAGATGTGTTATGTTCTTGTACAAGCTTCTTATGACTAATACAATCATTGTGTGTGGCAAACATGAATTAATAAAATACAAATTAAAGAAGAAACTTGAAACCAAGGTCCCTATATGAAAGTATAAGAAACAGTACTTATACAAAGATTTGAGTTCCAGTTCTTTCCACTTCAACTTGCTAGAATATGCTTATTCTTAGGATTTTTGACCAAAATTTATAACATAGCCTACAAGGTACCCTAAGATCTGGTTCCACCTTGCTTCCTATTGCTCCACATGCACCTATACATGTCTCCTTCCAGGTTTTTACACAGTATATCGTATTTCCACCTGCCTTCAGGTATTTGCACATGGGTTTCCCTCTGTCTAGAACACTCTTTGCTCATCATTTATCCAATCCTTCTCATATTTCAGCTGAAATACACCTCTAGACAATATGATATCATTCAGTTATTTACTTAATATTTATTGAGAGCATATTATCTCCTAGACACAGTTCTAGATATGTAGGATTGATAAAAGCCCTTGTGGAGTTTACATTGTAGTTGAAGAAGACAGCTAATTAATAACACAAATAACTAAATTAAATAGCTTCCAAGGCAATATAAATGCATTGGGTAAACCTTGAAGTCCAAGGTAAGATAATCAGGAGCAAGCATTTCCCAGTGCCTACTTTAGTATCTCACATAGTTAGCATTTAGTAAATACTCACATAGTTAGCATTTAGTAAATATTTGTCGAGTAGACCATTGAATAAGGAATGCCTCTGATCAAGTTATGAGTGAGCTAAAACTATAAAACTAGTAGACAAACTATTTTTTGGAAGAAACAGAGATGTTATTCAAAGAAAAGACAACCCAAGAAGAAACCTTGAGAGATAATGTCTCTTGAACCACTCCTGATCGTTTCCAAAAGTTTACATTTTCAGCCCAGCCTTGCCACAGCCAAACACACACACCAAGGCTGGAGTAATTCAAATGGGTTGCTCTTATAAACAATCTATCACACCTAATTAGGACACATATAAAAGTTTATATGTATATACCACTTTCATCACCCACCACCATACATATCCCAAAGCTGCTGATTTTCTATACACGCTGTTATCCCTTGTACTGAACTTCCAGTTCTTTGGTCTTCAAGTCCTTTTAGGGATATTCTTACTCTCTCCCACATACAGAACTATAAAAACCCTTATTTTCTTCTATAACTCTGTAATGACACCACCAGTGATGTCTAAGTCACACTCTCTTTCTCCCTCTAAGCCCAGCCATATCCCCAAGCACGTCCTTGGAAACAGGTCCCTGGATCTCTCATCCCGTCAGTTTCCCTAACTCTTAAGGCTATCTTCCCATCCCAGAGATGTGGGTATGCACCCTTTTGTGGTTTCTGAATGACCTTCAGGATCCCATATAGAGTGACACTCAGGCCTCAGCCTCCTCTGGTAGAGTCCTAAAGGACTAGGGTACTGGGTGGCCCCTCAAGCTTCTTGCCTTTTTAAGGACCCATACAAAGATTTGTATACTTAGTGACCAGGTGTAATCCTGAGGACCCTACACAGCAAAGCTCTGTGCAAACCCTTCTTCGTGGCACTGTCTGGTATTAAAGTAACACACCTTCTACATGCACCTGCATCCTCAGACTCAGAGCCTCCACCCTGCTCCCAACCCCACCCCACACACTCCAAATCTGGCCCCTACAGGGATCCTTCCCTTGCTTCCACAGGGTTGGGTACGCACTCTCCATGACGCAGCCTATCCCTAGGATCAGCCCTCACCACAGGCACCTCAGGATTAGGGGGCTGTGTCCCAGTCCTTCCCAGGCCCACGCTCACTTAAGTGTGTGCGCACTCCCCCACAGGCTCCAACTGCAGGACTTCGAGGTCCCCGCCTGCTACTGTGCGGGGTACAAACCTCCTCTGACCCCTGACCCCGAGGTCACAACCCCACAGCGCAAAACCACTAGGGCGCCTCCTCAAGACTAGGGCCAGACTTGGACTCCTGTCCCCTCAGGCCAAGGACTGCCCTGCCGCCTCAGCCTTCCTTTAATCGACCGCCCCCACAGACCTGCCTCAGGCGCCGTCTGGCTCCGCTCCGCCATTTTTTGTTGTCCCTCACTCTCCAAGCCCACGCGAAAACTGTGGGGCAGTGGGAGCGGGTGATGGGATCTGCGGGCTGACAAGAGCTCCCTCAGGAAGACGCGGCACGCCGGTTGCCCCGGCAACGAGCTGGCTGCTCGCGGGCCGGCTGCCCGCGTGGGGGAGGCGGTGCGTGCGTCCCAGGCCCCGCCCCCGCGACGCAGCCCCCTCGTGGGCCTGTCGCCTTCAGCGCTGGGACCCGGCCGGTGCCCCGCAACTGAGCCACCGCGTCCTGTCAACTGAGCATGCTCGGCGCCTCCGGGTACCTGGGCCAACTCCGCTGGAGTGGCACTTTCCAGCCGCTGACAGAGGTCCTCGTGCTCGCCACAGTGCCTCACCACCTTGACTTTTCTGTAGTTGGTGCTCAACTCTAGGAATTTGGAACAGATTTATTGATTTCCCGGCACTTCACCGCCTATCTTGTTTGGTTTCATCCAGGTGTTAAATTACTTACATATTCACCTTTGTGTGCATTCTGTGTGCCCACACGAACTCTAACTCGCAGATGTCCATAGGATTCTGCCTTCTTGCTGCTCTGCAGCTGCACCAACCCTCAACTCTAAAAAGGCTTGTTTTGTATTTCTCAGAATACCTGGAATGCTCATTCTGTGGCCCTCTCCACTCAGACTGAATTAGAGAGTTATCCTTTCCTGACCAGCTCTCTCATCACACGGCTCACTGTGCCAATACTTAACAGTACTTTATGCATCATTTCCTTCTGTCTTCCTCACTTAACCAAGAGCTCCCTAATGCCTGGGTTATTCTTCGCCCTTTCATACCCCATAGTGCAGCATGATGCATGACACAAAGTAGATACACAGTAAATATATGTTGAATGAAAAATGAGTCCTAAATACTTGCACATTCAGATTGATTTTATTAAGCACTTAATTTTCTAGCAAGTACCCTCCTAGGTAGATTTCGTCTCTCAAGCAGCTCACAGAGAACAGAGCTAATGGCTTTGATAGAGGTTAACTGTATGAAGTGTTACTGAATCATAGAGATGGTGCTGGTCCTGTGAGTGGAGGGTAAAGAGGAAAGACTTCACAGGGAAGAGGGTTCCCTCCTTGAGTCTTGAAGAATGACTAAATGTCAGCCAGACAAAGGAGGGTAGTGTGCTGAGCAGAGGGCATTTGTGAGTCAAGAACAGAACTATAGGTAATGGGAAAGAAATTTGGAGAATTCAAGTATGGCTGAGCATAAGTTACAGGGAAAATTGTTGTCTCTAAAGAGGTTCCTAGATGATTAGGTAGTGACTTCAAATGGGTTCTCAAAAGCAGAGCCTGAAGCAAGGACTTGGTAATCTGTTGGAAAGGAAACAAGTGAAGTGGAGACAGGAAAAGAGGAAAGGGGAAGAAACCCAAGAAAAATGTCAATGAGCTTATCGCTCTCGATCAGAGACAGTTGAGCTTAATCTCACTGGAAACCCTCTAAAAAACTGTGTAGAGTGTATCTCTACTATTGTCCCTCTGAAGAACAAGGAAGCAGGGCCATTTTTCTCCTGATTTCCATCCCTGTTGATTGAGGGTTATTCTTGATCCCTAGTTTGAACTTTCTCGTGTTTCCTGGTTGTACTGCCGAAAGCCAAGCATATTTAAATCCTAGAGTTTGAGAGAAAGCCTTCAGGCAGGAAGCAGAAGGATGAGAAAGTCTTTGAGGTGAGATTTTGGCAACATACGTGTAACTATTCATCTACAGTAAAATCAGGGATAAAGTATGGGCCCCATCAAGAGTCTTCTACAAAAAGTTGCCTGAAAATACTCATCAAAAATAAGATTTAACATGTGAGCAGTTTAAAATTCACAACATGAATGTACATGTACTTTTCACAAATCCTGAGGACAGTAAAGACTGTGGGAGGGGTCACAAAGAGCCAAGGAGAACAAAGGAATTTCACTGAATATAGGGAGATAGAAAAAGAGGAAATGTCGGGCTTCAACTAAGACTCTGGCCTTATTGTAACTGTATAATCTTTTACAAATCACTTAAATTCATTTAGCCTCAATATTCTTCTCCAACAAACTGAGACAAAGGCCCTCCCTAACACAAAGAGTTGCTCTAACTCACACAAGGCAATGGATGAAATTGCATTTGACAAGTATAAATCCAGTAAATAAGAAACCTAATTTGTGTGGAATATTCATTTAAACAAACATTCCATGATGCTTCTCCTGAGCTAGACACTGTGCAAATACTGAAGATAAAAGAGTGAGTAAAATACAGTATATAACTGAACGGTTTAATTTTAATATTAAATAAAATGTAGAACACAGTTATTTAGTCAGACTAGCCCTATTTCAAATTCTCATAGCCACATATGGCTAGTGGCTTCCATTTTGGACAGTTTATGTACTGAACATTTCCGTCACTGCAGATAGTTTTTAGACTGGATCAATAGACAAATGCCAGGTGGGAAGAGGAAATAGAATCCCTAGAAAATTAGCTTCCTGACAGGACCCAACTGAACAATTGCGTTTCAGAAGATTGAATGAATGAGAAAATTCAGCTCTTCTGTGTGTAGGCTACTCCTGAGGAAGGTGCAGGAGGGAGTGTAGATACTTTCACTCCTGCTCGAGTCCTCAGAGACTTCCCTTTTGTTGTGCAAGATAATACAGCATGAGGAATGAGTTAGAAATGCCCCACATAGACTCACAGGCATTGGTTTCCCCAAGGTAGCATTCAGAGTGTCTCTAGGAGATCTACTTTCCCCAGGGACTTCCTGTGGCTCTATATCCACAGATACCATCCACCCTCTACAAAATCAGGGTGCCTTGCTTCAAACAGCAGTCTCTGTGGGATTCACCCATTTTCTCTGAAAATATTTATTAAAATGACACTCTCCATATGTCTGGCCACTGAGTTACATGCAGTATGGAATGAAAGAAAGTTTACAATCATATTTTTTACATGTGCAAACTCATTTCATTTTCAAAGCAACATTATAAAATTGGCTTTAATATCTTGTTCAGAGGATGAAAATGAGGCTCAGAGTTTAAGGGACAGACTAACATCAAGTTACAGTCTGAAAGTAACTGATTCAGAGAAGACTAAAATGGTCCTAAGAACTTCACCTATGATACCTTGTGTAATTTTCACATCAAAAATACCACGCCTTTGAAGTTTATTAACTAATTTAAAAGAATAACAAGTGAAAATCCAGTTTACAATTAATTTCCAAACAACGCAGTAAGGGCAGTGACATAGGTATGTGCAGAAGTATGGGAACAGTGAAGAGAAATGATCTTCCTTTCCTCTTTTCCTGAAGAAATAAAATGGGAGCTGAGTAAAAAGGATGAGGGGTATCAACCAACTAGTTGATGAGAAAGGTCTCCTGTGTTATATGAAAACACTGAGACTCTGCATAAAATATTTAAAACATGGCTGGACTCGAATAAAAGGAAAATATTCTGATGTCAGAAGAAAAGAGGGATACAGTCATTTGCCCTTGTAATTTCCTCTGCCCAAGATGTTCTTCTTTCCAATATTTTCCAGACTGACTCTATATTTTCATTCAGATGTCATCTTAAATGTCACATTATTGGGAAGATCTTTCCTTAACACGATTTTTAATTCATAGATATTTCATAATTTTATTCTTATTATGAATGGTATATTTTGCTCTTTTTCCCCACATGTTTTATTCATGTACACAAGTGTTATTGATTTTTGTCAGTTATTATTACAATTGTAAATTCATTGAACTTCCCCATTGTGTCTAATAGTTTGTTAATCATTTGACTTTTTTAAAGAAGAATAATCAATAGCAAATTATAATGATATCTTCCCTGTCTATCCTTTTATAATACTTCTTTTTATAATATTTCATTTCCCCATGTTATTTCTTTTGCAAGCACCTTTAGGATTATGTAAGATTCAAACAATTAAAAGCAACCCCATCAAAATACCAACAACATTCTTCACAGAACTAGGAAAAAAATCCTAAAACTCACATGGAAACACAAAAGACTATGAATAGCTAAAATAACCTTGAGCAAAAACCATGTTTAGAAGCATCAAAATACCTGATTTCGTAATATACTACAGAGCCATAGTAACCAAAGCAGCACTGTACTACCACTAAAACATACTCACAGATCAGTGGGGCAGAATGGAGATCCCAGAAATAAACCCATGCATGTACAGCAAACTGATTCCAACAAGAGGTCCAAAACAATACAATGGAGAAAGACAGTCTCTTCAAAAAATTGTGCTGGGAAAATTGGAGATACACTGTATTTGAAACTCTAATCTCTTTCTCATTCTCTACGAAAATCAACCCAAACTGGATCAAAGACCTGAAGCTCTGAAACTACTAGCAGAGAACATAGGGGAAACACTTGAAGATTTTGATATAGATAAATTGTTTAATATGACTCAAAAAACAGCAAACAAAGGCCAAAACAGGAAAATGAGATAACGTTATGCTAAGAAACTTCTGCACAGCAAAGGAAACAGTCAATAAAGTGAAGAGATAAGTCATATAATGAGGAAAAAATATTTTCCAACTATTCATCTGACAAAAGATTAATACCCAGAATATATAAAGAACTCAGAAAACAACAAGAACAAGTAATTCAATTAAAATGAGCAAATGATCTGAATAGACATTTCTCAAAAGAGGAAATACAATGCCAACAAATATGTGAAAGTATACTTAATATCATTAGCCATAAAGGAAATGGAAATTGAAACTACAATGAAATATCACCTCATCCCAGCTGGAATGGCTGTTATCAAAAATAAAATAAAATAACAAATGCTTCCAAAGATAAAGAGAAAAAGGAACTCTTACACTCTTGATAGCAATATAAATTAGTTACAGCCATTACAGAGAACAGTATAGAGGTTATTCAAAACCCTAAAAATAAATCTACATGTGATCCAGCTATGACAATTCTGGGTATTCATCTACAGAAAAAATAAAATCAGCACATTAAAGAGACACTGGGCTTGAAACGTGGCTCAGTGGTAAAGTGCTTGTCTAGCATGTATCATGTCCTGGATTTGACCCCCAGCACCAGAAAAATGAAACAAAACAAAAAGAAAAGATACCTGCCTGCCCATATTTATTGGGGAACCATTCACAATAGCTAAGTTATGGAACCAACCAAAGTGCCCATCAATACATAAGTAAAATGTTTATACACATAATGGAA